AACTTTTAAGACTTGTGGACTTCAACTCCCAGAATTCCTAAAGTTGTGCGATAAAACGACAGCGAAGGTTGATCAGAGCTGGTTTTTCACAACTACAACAACAGGGAGTGACTCTTGTGGAAGCCAGAAAAGGTTTGATCTTTACTGGAGGCTAAAACATACAAGGAACGGTTGCTGGAATTGGGTATGTCTAGTTTAACGAAGGACGAGGGGGGACAGGATAGCAGCCTTCCAGTATCTCAGGGGCTGCCATAAAGAAGAGGGAGTCAAGCTGTTCTCCAAAGCCCCTGAAGGCAGGACAAGAAGCAACGGATGGAAACTGATCAAGGAGAGAAACAACCTGGAACTAAGGAGAAACTTCCTGACAGTGAGAACAATTAACCAGTGGAACTCCTTGCCTCCAGAACTTGTGAATTGCTCCAACACTGGAGGTTTTTAAGAAGAGACTGGACAGCCATTTGTCTGAAATGGTGTAGGGTTCCTGCCTGAGCAGGGGGTTGGACTAGATGACCTCCAAGGTCCCTTCCAACTTTATCATTATTAATATTACAAGTCCAAGGAAAGAGCCAACAGAATTACAGGGAGTCCTTGACTTACGACCACAGTTGAGCCCCAAAATTTCCATTGCTAAGTGAGACAATTGTCGGGTGAATTTTGCCCCATTTTACGGCCTCTCTTGCCACAGTCGTTAAGCAAATCACGGCAGTTGTTAAGTTAGTAACAAGGCTGTTCCATGAATCTGGCTTCCCCATTGACTTGGCTTGTCAGAAGCCGGTTGGGAAAGTTACAAACGGGGATCATGTGACCCTGGGACACTGCAACCGTCTTAGGTACATGCCAGTTGCCGAGCATCTGAATTTTGATCACGTGATTAAGGAGATGTTCTAATGGTCTTATGTGTGAAAAACGAGGTCACTTTTTACAATGGCATTGTATCTTCAGTCACTAAATGAAGCATCATTAGTCGAGAATTACCTGTACTTATTTCCTTCTGAACAACCCTTAATATATTCAGTCCCAAAAGACCATTTTCAGAAAAAATGACTTCCCTCTTCTTTCATTCCAACTTTTGATTTCTTCTTTCCTCTACCCCAAGTGACTTGGTTGAGGTGGGCAGCTACAGAAACTGAAGAAAGAAAGAAAGAAAGAAAGAAAAAGAAAGAAAGAAAGAAAGAAAGAAAGAAAAAGACGTAAGGAAGAAAGAAGTAAGAAAAAAAGAGGAAGAAAAAGGAGGGAGGTAGGGAGGAAGGAAAGAAAGAGAAAGAAAGGAGGGAGGGAGAGAGGGAGGGAGGGAGGAAAGAAAAGGGAGGAAAGAAAGGAGGGAGAGACAGAGGGAGGAAAGAAAGAAAGAAAGGAGGGAGGGAGGAAAGAAAGAAAGAAAAAGACGTAAGGAAGGAAGAAGAAAGAAAGAAAAAAGAGAGGAAGAAAAAAAGGGAGGGAGGGAGAAAAGAAAGAAAAAGACATAAGGAAGGAAGGAAGAAAAAAAGAGGAAGGAAGAAAAAGAAAGGGAGGGAGGAAGGAAGGAAAGAAAAAGATGTAAGGAAGAAGGAAGAAAGAAAAAAGAGAGGAAGAAAAAGAAAGAAAGGAGGGAGGGAGGGAGGAAAGAAAGAAAGAAAGAAAGAAAGAAAGAAAGAAAGAAAGAAAGAAAGAAAAAGAAAAAAGTCTGTCCCAACATACAATTCAGGCAGGAGGATCAGGCTGGGGGTCCAAAGAGGACTATTCAAATGCAAAGACAATTTTAATTTTCATGTATTTATTTCCTTGGTTTTTTGGCAAAAAGATCTGGCACTCAAGGTCGCCCCCCCAAGCTCCCCCCTTCAAGCCCCCCTTCCTCCTTCTCTGGGTCTGCCCCTCCCCCAGCAGCCGGCCTTGGTTTCCTTCAGCCTTGAGTTCTTCCACACCCCCTGGGGCTCCCCCCAAATTGGTGGGCACCATCTTCTGCTTATAGAAGTGGGGTGCTATTTTGAGAAACGGAAATGATCGAAGGCTGAGACGGCAACTGCCCTGAATTAAGAAGGGGAATTTGGAGAAACAGGAAACGTCTCTGCGAAGTCTGCAGAGAGAGAGAGAGATTAAACTCGTGTTTTCTCAGGGTCAGCAACTTTAAGACACAGGGGGACTCCAGCTCCCAGAATTCCCTTGCCAGCTGTGCTGCTCTGGGAGTTGAAGCCCACACATCTTAAACTTGCGGACGTTGAGAAACATTTCATTAAAAATCTACTTAAATCCAGCCTCTTCGCAAAAATTGCAAAGTGAGAACAATTCACCAGTGGAACCACCTGCCTCCAGAAGCGGTGAATGCTCCAACACTGGAAGTTTTGAAGAAGAGACTGGACAGCCATTTGTCTGAAATGGTATAGAGTCTCCTGCTTGAGCAGGGGGTTGGACTAGATGACCTCCAAAGTCCCTTCCAACTCTATTCTATTCTAAGAGACTGGACAGCCATTTGTCTGAAATGGTATAGGGTTTCCTGCCTGAGCAGGGGGTTGGACTAGATGACCTCCAAGGTCCCTTCCAACTTTATTGGTTATTATTATTATTATTATTATTATTATTAATAATAATTCCAGTCCACCGAGGCCTATAAAAAAACCCAAACGTTTCTGAAATCCGCTGCAAAGATCTTCTGTAAATCCCCCCCGGATGGATCTCCGCATTTCTGGGCCCCCCCCAGGACAAATTCTCTCCCTCTTCTCTTTCTCTCCTTCGGTTTTTGCAACCCTTGAGTTGAGTTGAGTTGGGCGGCTAGAGCAACCGAGTAAATAAAAACAACATTTTCCAAAGCCACAACTTGCAAAAACAACAGGAGCAGCAATTTAGCAGAATTTATTACACATTATTTCAAAGGGGGGGGGGGAGGGAGAAAAAAATAATCCATCCGCGCGCTCTGAGTTTTTAAGGATTTGTCCACAGGAGAGACCCCCCCCCCGTTGGCAGTAGGCCGCACAAGTGGCCCAGGCCGTTGTCGATGTTGCAACAGACACCTGAGTGTGTGTGCGCGTTGTACAGGTGTGTGCTGGACACATCTGGAGGGAGGCCAACCACGGCTAGGAAGGAGACCCCAACCGTCTCACCTTCCTCCCAGTGATTCGGGGGGGGCACCCTCCCCCCCTTTTCTTTGGGATCGGGGAGAGGCTGTGACCCGCTGCAAGGCACCCCCTACTACGGGCTGATGCCCGGGAAGGCGAGACCCCCCCCCCCAATGTGGCAGAGACCCAGCTCTGAGCTTGCCCTGTGGGTAGTGAGCCAGAGATGGACCCCGCAGCAGAAGCCCCCTATTCCCTGGGTGGAGGCAGCTGCCTAGGTGGGGAACCACTTCTGGATCGCCTTTGAGATCCTGGAGCCTGTCCTCAATGAGGTCCTCCCCTGGCAAGGGCAGGCCCTCGGAGGGACGTCTTCCCCCGGACGGGCGAGCCGTAGGAAGTAGAGGGGAGTTCAACACCCCACGTCCTTTTCGTCGAGATGTGTTCCGGGTGGAAGGGCTATGTCTGGGTCCACGCTCCTCTCGACCCGTCCCCAGGGTCCGCTACCCCCGGTGGCACGGGCGAAGGCGGGGAAAGGACCCCAATTTTTACCGCCAAAGCAACCCTTGGCTTTACCTTCCTGCCCGGCATTAACACCGCTGCTCATGAAAACAAACGCTGCACCGCCAAGCCCTGAAAATAACCAGGCAGGGGCGAGGATGGGAGGCCACCCAGCAATCCTCAGATTGAGCAGGACCCCTCAGCGACGGTGGGGCGAACAGGGCACGGCGGCGTGGCTTCCTTCCAAGCGAAGTGAAGGGAGAGGAGGCGGTGCCCCCCCCAGACCCTCCATCTGGCAGGTCGGCTTGTTTAGCTGCCCAGGGTTTTTTTCCAGCTGCTGCTTCCAAAGCTGGACTGGTCCAACGGGCAGGCAGGAGAAGTCCCGGGATTGACTGGGAACCATTCCCAAGAGACCTTTAAATTAGAGGCGAGGGCGGAAGGCAGAGGAGGCCCTCCCCAAAAAATCAGGATGGGGGCCCTCCTGCTGAAGGCCCTAGGAGGGCAGGAGAAACAGGGGGGGGGACTCCAGAGTCCAGAGCGGGCAGGACCCCCTCTGGGTTGGCATCAGAGGCTGGGGAGGATGGGGCTGGGGAAGTTGAGGCAGGGCAGGGGCCTCTCCGCCCCACAGTGGCTGTCCAGCTTGGCCTCCGTTCCACCGGGGGAGGGGGGTGTCCTGAGCCAGCCGGCCGGCCAGAAGCGGCCGAGAGGAAGGGGCCGGTGGTGCCACCAGGCCTGGCACAGAGGGGCAATCCCAGAGGGCCACCGGAGGGGAAGGGAAACATCCAGGAACAAACAGATGTTTCGATAGGCTTGTTAAAATAATTCTTTTCTTTCTTGCTAAAAAAAAGAAAGAAAAAAGAATCCTCCAATGCAGCCTACAAGCAGTAGAAGCCGGCCTCGGCGGTGCTTCTTATGCGCAGCGTCCGTCCGTCCCTCTGGGGTCGTGGCGCAGCCACCCGGGGGGCCGAGGCCGGGGTCCTGAGAGGTAAGTGATGGAGAACGCTTCTCCTGGGGCTCCGGAGGCGTCCTTGGCCCAGCAGCTTGCCCCCCCCCGGCTCCCCAGGGGCGCTCTGGCTCTGGGGCAGGAACCAGAGGGGGGGGGGGTTATTCCAGGCCCAGGATATAGTTAATCCCTTGCACTAGTCCGATGATGACCGGCTGCCAGGCCACCAGGTAGCGCAGCCAGTCCAGCAGCTGTCCGTACATCACGTGCGGCCTCTCCCAGCTGCGGGCCGGAGTTAAGGCCAAGTAAGGATAAAGGGTCGAGGAGTCCCCACGGGTTTTCCGCAGCCGACTTTAGGGACGGCCCGTTTCAAGGCGTATTAATACCACTTTACAAGGCCTTGGTAAGGCCACCCTTGGAATACGGCATCCAGTTTTGGTCACCACGATGTAAAAAAGATAATTGAGACTCTGGAAAGAGGGCAGAGAAGAGCAACAAAGAGGATCAGGGGACTGGAGGCTCAAACATATAAGGAACGGTTGCTGGAATTGGGTATGTCTAGTTTAACGAAGAGAAGGACGAGGGGGGACACGATAGAGTCTTCCAGTATCTCAGGGGCTGCCCCAAAGAAGAGGGAGTCAAGCTATTCTCCAAGGCGCCTGAAGGCAGGACAAGAAGCAACGGATGGAAACTCATCAAGCAGAGAAGCAACAGAGAACTGAGGAGAAACTTCCTGACAGTGAGGACAATTAACCAGTGGAACCACCTGCCTCCAGAAGTTTTGAATGCTCCAACACTGGAAGTTTTTAAGAAGAGACTGGACAGCCATCTGTCTGAAATTGGATAGGGTTTCCTGCCTGAGCAGGGGGTTGGACTAGATGACCTCCAAGGTCCCTTCCAACTTTATTATTATTATTATTATTATTATTATTATTATTATTAAGGCCGTTGAGCCAGCACTGTCCGAAGACATTTTGTGTGGCCAGCATGACGTCACAGAGCCCTGTTACCTTCCCACCAAAGTGGTACCTATTTATCTACTTGCATGTAAGATGCTTTCAAACTGGTTTGGCAGGAGCTGGGGCGAGGACGGGAGCTCACCCCATTGCGGACCGCTTGGGTCTTGACCCCAGGCCAGGGGTAGGCAACCTTGGCTCTTTTATGACTCGTGGACTTCAACTCCCAGAATTCCTGAGTCTCCACGAGTCATAAAAGAGCCAAGGTTGCCTACCCCTGCCCCAGGCTGTCGACTTTCCAGCTGACATCCTCAGGGTCTTTGACCCCTGAGCCATCGCGCCCCTCTTAATGGAAGTAAAGGTTTCCCTGTCCCGTTGTGTCCAACTCATGCCCGTTTCTCGGCCGAGGGAGCCAGGCTGCCTGAAGACACTTTCCACGGTTGCGTGGCCAAGACGGCTGTACGTCCAAGGGGCGTGGAACGCTGTTACCTCCCCACCAAAGTGGTACCTATTCATCTACTTGCACTCAACTTCTCTGGAACTGCTCGGCTGGTAGGAGCTGAGGCAAGTCACAGGCGCTCACCCCGCCACGCCTTGCTGGGACTCGAACCGCCAGAATGTAGACCAGTGTTTCTCAACCTTGCCAATTTTAAGGCATGTGGACTTCAACTCCCAGAATTCCACAGCCAGCATTGCTGGCTGTGGAATTCTGGGAGTTGAAGTCCACATGCCTTAAAATGGTCAAGGTTGAGAAACACTGATGTAGACCTTCTCCGGCATCTTTTAAGCTGGTTTACGCCTCTCTAAAGGTGGGGCCAGCAATTCATTTTTCCACCTGAGGAACTGGGACTGTTGTGGAGGGCTGAATCAACAGGGCTAGGAACGTGATAGGCATGTGTGTAAATTGGGGGGAAAAGAATAGCCGTGGGTTTCAAAATAAAAGCGATCTGTGTAGGGTGGGCAGGGACAGCCAAGGGGCCAGATGTGGCCCAGAGATGGGAGGGGTGTGTGTGTAAAACACCCAGGTCTGAGTTAAGAGAAGCCACAAGGCTAGGGTAGTGGGGGGGTCAACAGCCCAGCGTGCCCTCCTCTGGCTCTGGGTCTAGGATTCAAGGTCCCGCCAGAGCAATTAACCTTCAGCTTTGGTCATTTGTCCACCCCGGGTGAGAAAAGGGACTGGAAGGCCGTGAGACGTGAGCGCACTCACGCTCGGCCCTGCACGGAGATGCGTTCAGTGCCTACCAAGCCGCCACCCCCCCCGAGCCAACACGAGAGAGAAAATGAGGGTCAGGGGGGACACGGAGAGCATCTAATCCAGCCCTCCGGGGGAGGGGGCGCTGTTATAACGGCGAGCGATGAAGGATACGGATTGCTGAACATCCGCTTGAGGTCCAC